TCACGCACAGCGCCCGCCCTCAGGGACCCCCCCTGCGCACCCCCTGTGGTGTCGAGAAAACTCCACGCCTGCTGTGCCCTGGACGACCGTCGTGCTGTGCTGAGCTGTGCTGTGCTGTGCCGAGGTGTTGTTCAGAGCTGAGCTGTGTTGTGCTGAACTGAGCTGTGCTGTGCTGAGCTGTGTTGCGCTGTGTGAGAAGGAGAAAGAGCAGGAGGTGAGGTGAGTGAGGGTCGCGGGTGCGACGCGGCAGGGATGAAAACCAGAACCCCACGAAACATGTGGGGACTTATTCTTCAGAAGTGAGATTTCAACAACAACAACAACAACAACAACAACAACAACAACAATCACTTTACCCGAACGCTCAGTGTTCTCACCAGTGCCAGGGTTTTCATGCGACGCCAGCCAATACCCCCACTTTGTGGGGGGGCAGTGCAAGCTCTACCAAATATCCACACGACTCTTCGCCACCACCCACACCCAGCTTCCCGCCCTATGACGTTCGGACACTTCACTTCGTGGCCTGCGGACGACCGTGGCTACTACACTGGCGTGGAGTACACACCCACAGAAGTTGTTAAGCCTACGTTCGTACACCCACAGAAGTTGTTAAGCCTTGTTAACCCACAGAAGTTGTTAAGCCTTCCACAGAACATCTGTTGCATATGATGCATATGGTACATGATACACATGATACACATGATACGTACTCACAAGATAGTTGATCACATCTTTAGGGCAAATTCCTGAGGGATGTGGGAATACACAAGAGAGAGAGGATATGGTTGTCCCGATGGTTGTCTCGATGGTTGTCCCGATGGTTGTCCTGATGGTTGTGGTTGTCCCGATCGTTGTCCCGATGATTGTCCCGATGGTTGTCCTGATGGTTGTGCTTGTCCCGATCGTTGTCCCGATGACTGTCCCGATGATTGTCCCGATGGTTGTCCCGATGGTTGTTCCGATGGTTGTCCCGATGGTTGTCCCGATGGTTGTGAGCGATGCCGGATCCTCACGCCCCCCGCCGGAGGAGGAGGAGGAGGAGGAGCAGGACAAGGAGGAAAGGAGAGAGAAGAGAGATTTCGGCGTGCGCGCGCGAAGAAAAAACGAATGTGTCCCGCATGGTATTATTTGACAGGGATGATGGCCCTGGCAGGTGCGCAACCGTTGTCGCAGAAGTTCGAAAAAGTTGCTCGCAAAAGCCCGTTTGACAGAAATGTTTAAAAAGTGTTGGGTTTCCTACGAATCCGCAAGAGCGCGCGGGATGAGATTTTGACAATTTTTTGTTGAAAAACCATTGGTTTTTTGATGTTTTTATGTTAAAATCGCTGCGAACACTAAGGTTTTGGAAGGATTTCGTCTTGCGCGCGCGAATGTCCACTTTACCTTATTTTTTGCAAGGGATTCTTGAAATTTGATTATATTAGAACAAGAAATGTCATTTTCTATTGTTTTTTGCAAGGGAAAGCGGATTACAACAAAACAACCGGATCCTGTACACACCCTCTTTTCTGAGGCTTCCTCACGAAAATGATGAAAATGTAGCTGCGGCCTAGGCGGCGCAGGGGGGGCGCGCACCAGGGGGCCCAACAATAATTATTCTTTAGAATAAATAATGTTCAACAACAACAACAACAACAACAACAACAACAACGACGACGACGACGACGACGACGACGACGACAACAACAATCAGGCTCAGATTGTTCGTTCATATCTGCTCGAGTGTCATTCAACGTGTATTTCCTAAACCTTCGATATCTTTCTTCCCTGCAGGCCGGGCCCCGGCAAGCGGCGGGGCGGCGGCGGACCGTCGGCCTGGCCAGCGGCAGCACTGATCGGCGGCAACCCGACCCCAAGAGTGATGGACAGGGGACCGACCACGACGACGGCGACGACGACGACGACGGCGGCGACGACGACGACGACAAGCGAAAGCAAGAGCGAGAGCGAAAGCGAGAGCGGGACAACGAAGGGCAGGAAGGGAGCCACGACGGGCGCGAACGAGCGGGGGCCACGAAGAGCAGATGGTGCGGGGCCGCAGAGGGCAACGATGGGGCCAATGAGGGTAGCAACGAGGCCACGCAGGTCAGCGAGGGAGCCACAAAGGGCGACAACGGGGCCACGAAGGGCACGCGCGCGGGGCCACGACTGGCGCGAACGAGCGGGGACCACGAAGGGCATGCGAAAATTGGCCCGCTGAGGGCAAGAACGAGGCCATTGAGGGCAGCAACGGGGCCGCGGAGGGCAGCGACGGGGCCGCGAAGGGCGACGGCGGGGCCACGAAACGCATGCAGATGGGGCCACGACGGGCGAGAACGAGCGGGGGCCATGAAAGATATACATGTACGGGGCCACGAAGGGCAGCGAGGGGGCCGCGAAGGGCTGCAACGGGGCCGCGACGGGCAGCCAGGGGCCAAGAAAGGGTGCAACGGGGCCACGAAGGGCAGCGACGGGGGCCACGAAGGGCTGCAACGGGGCCACGAAGGGCAGCGATGGGGGCCACGAAGGGCTGCAACGGGGCCACGCAAGGCGCCGATGGGGCCACGAATGGCTGCAACGGGATTCCCAAGGGTTGCAACGAGGCCACGATGAGCAGCGAGGGGGCCACGAAGAATTGCAACGGGCCCACGAAGGGCAGCGAGGGGGCCACGAAGGGCTGCAACGGGGCCACGAAGGACAGCGAGGGGACCACGAAAGGCTGCAACGGGTCCACGAAGGGTAGCGAGGGGGGCACGAAGGGCTGCAACGGGGCCACAAAGGGTAGTGGGATCTCGATTCCTAAGTAAGCTGCGAGGGAGTCCTAAGCGTGAGCGCGACCCCTGGGTGCCTGAGTGTCGGGAGCGCGGCGCTGGATTGAATTGCGGGGAGCGCGATTCTTGAGTAGATTGCAAGCAGGTCTCCAGCGAGAGCGCGACGCAAGAGCGCCGAGAGAGCGATTCTTGTAGACAAATGCAAGGAGGTCTCAGGCGGGAGCGGGGGTCCTGGCTAAATTATGGGGAAGTCTCAAGCGGGAGCTCTTGTCGTTGTAATCCGGGTGCCAACAGCACAGTTTGAGCCCCGCGACTTTCCCTGATAAAAAACAGGGTGCCAGACCCGGAGGGAGCACTTCAATTGAAAAACACAATGGTCATCGGAGGGGGGATCAATAATAATTATTCTGCAGTAGTGAGAGTTCAACAACAACAACAACAACAACAACAACAACAACAACAACAACAACAGCAACAACAACAACAACATTAACATTAACATTAACATTAACATTAACATTAACATTAACATTAACATTAACATTAACAACAACAGCAACATCAACAACAACACCAACAACAACAACAAAAACAATAACAACCACAACAACAACAACAGCAGCAGCAACAACAACAACAGCAGCAACAATAACGGCAACAACAGCATCATCAGCATCATCATCACCACCATCAGCGTCAGCATCCGCATCCGCAGCAGCACCACCACTACCATCGCCAGAATCATCATCAGCACGATTATCAGCACCATCACCATCAGCATCATCATCAGAATAATGAGCATCATCACCATCATCATCATCATCATCATCATCATCATCATCATCATCATCATCACAATCGGCATCAGTATCAGCATCATCGTCATCATCATCACCACCATGATAATCATCTTCTTCTACAGCATCACCAGCACCACCACTACCATCGCCAGAATCATCATCAGCACGATTATCAGCACCATCACCATCAGCATCATCATCAGAATAATGAGCATCATCACCATCACCATCACCATCACCATCATCATCATCATCATCATCATCATCATCATCACAATCGGCATCAGTATCAGCATCATCGTCATCATCATCACCACCATGATAATCATCTTCTTCTACAGCATCACCAGCAGCAGCAGTATCGGCACCAGCATCATTATCAGCACCCTCATCATCATCATCATCATCATCATCATCATCATCATCATCATCATCATCAGCAGCAGCAGCATCAGCATCAGCATCAGCATCAGCATCAGCATCAGCATCGTCATCATCAGCATCATCAGCATCAGCATCATCAGCAGCATCAGCAGCATCAGCATCACCATCATCATCATTCCCCGCCCGTCGCGGCTTGTCCACCTCCTCCTGATCCTGCTACTCCCGCTCTCCATCCTGAGCGTCCTAACCCTCCCCGAGTGCGAAAAGAGGCAACGCCTCCGCCCCCAACCCCCCAACGGCCAGGTGCGCAATCCTCTACGGCTTCTCCTGCCCCTCCTCCACCTGAAAAGTCAGCCTCCAGACCTCTCCCTGGACACGTTCCGACCAGAGTCCAACCGGAAATCCAGCCGTTGCGACGACAGGCCTCCCACAGGCCCACCACAAGGGCGAAAGAGGTCACAAAGCTCGATCGATTGATCGATCCTCAATCCCGGGTTCCGCCCTTCGTGGCTCGTCGTGGCTCGTCGCCGTCCACCGTCGTGGGCGCGGGGGGGGCACACCTGTCATTCGCTGTCAGCGTCGTGGCTCGCCGCCACCGCCGTCGTCGTCCGCAGCCGTCGACGTCGATAGCTCGCCGCCGCCGCCGCCGTCGCCAGCCACTGCCACCGCCACTGCCGCCGCCACTCCAGCCTTCAGACGCCGCGATTTTCCGCAGCGCGGCAACTCTAGAACCCTGGACCCCTTCCCCAGGGCCGGCTTTCAACTCGGATAGGTTTTTGCTGACGGCCCCAGGGTCCGGTGAGGGCCCTTGGAGGCCGAAAATGAAAAGAGCTTCCCGTCGCGATCTTTCTGCGGCGCGAGGATGTCAGGGATTGCCAGGGCCACCTCTGGCGCCACTGCCGAGGCCGCTTCTTCTGGGGCGACATCTGGCGCCACTGCCGCCGCCACTGCCGCCGCCACTGCCGCCGCCACTGCCGCCGCCACTGCCGCGCCGCCGCCACTGCCGCACTACCACGGCTACCACCGCCGCGGGCCGAACGTGGCACGCCGTCGTCTGCCCGGCGAGGCCCGGCGTGGGCGGCGCTCGAGCGGCCCGCGGAGGCTCCGCGCCGCGTCAGCGGCGCCTGGCCGTGCCGGCGAGGACGTGGGCGGCGACGGCGCAGGCCGCAGGGCGAGGAAGGGGGGGGGGGAGGAGGGGACGGGGGAGGGAGGAGGAGGGACGAGGAGGAGGGACGAGGAGGAGGGACGAGGAGGAGGGACGAGACGAGGAGGAGGGACGAGGAGGAGAGGGGAGGAAGAGGAGGAGGACCAGTGTAACCCCAAGAGTCACCAACGATGTTGGGATAAGCCCTCCCCCCAGGCTTCCTCTTCATAGGGCCCTACAACGGTTCATTTCCACAATGGGACCTGCCCCGTTCGAAGACATCCGTTTGAAGACCCTGAAGACCCGGCATTCCAACGCCACGGATAAGCCTGACTGTTGCGTCTTGACGGTCCTGAATCGCGCCAGAACGCCATACCTCGGATTCAAACACCGCTAATCATCGCAACTGTTGCGCCCCCATGATCGTGAATCTTTCCAAGACACCAGTTTTGGTACGTCGATCATGTGAATCCGTGAAACCCTCGTAGATTTTGTGACAAGAGTGGGCGCGGCGCTAAGGCGAGAGCCACATTTTGGAAGCGACCCGCCCTCAATCCGTGAAACTCTTATATTTTGTTTCAAATGAACGTGTGCGGCGCCATGGCGAGAGCCACATTTTGAAAACGACCCGCCCTCAATCCGTGCAATGTTGGCAAATGTTGAGAACGAATGTGCGCGAGGCTAAGGCGGGAGCCACATTTTGAAAACCACCCGCCCTCCATCCGCGAAATTGCTGCCAATGTTGAAGTTTCAGGGTCATACCTGGTGAGGAGGAAGTCTCAGGCGAAACGCCCAGCCCTCCCTAAAAACTGGCCTGGCGGTGCGAAAGGGAGAAGTTCTTTACAAGCAGAAGAAATTGAGGAGGAGGAGGAGGAGGAGGAAAGAGGGCCAGAGTAAACCCAAGACGCATCCACGATGCTGCAACACACCCTCCCGTCGCAAACCCCCTCCTCAGAAGTCCCTACAAGTATTTCCGTCCACCCTAGGAAATACCCATTGAAAGACGAGGGCCCCATGGTCCTACGGTTCTGACCAGAGCCCCCTTTGAACAAGGACCTGCCATCCATGCATCTAGCTATATGGACGGCGGCGATGAGCACCGCTTTGAAACAGAGCGGCCCTCGAAATGTGCCAAATGCTATTCAATGTCTGATCATCTAGTTCTGAAGCCAAAGAAAGAAACAAGCGAGAGACCTGATTTGAAAAGGAACGGCCCTCAACCTTGCAGCTCCCGCACAGTCTTCAATGCCTGGCCACCAGGCTTTAGGAAGTCCCAAGAGCTCCATGCTGAAAAGGAACCGCCATCCATGCGTGTGACTATGGAAAGTGTTCAGATGCATGTGCACAGTGCTAAGGCGAAAAATAAGTATTAAAAACCACACGCACACCTCCTTCCGCGTACCTGATGGGAGCGTTTAACACGAATGTGCACGACGCCGAGGCGAGGGCCACGTTTTGCCAAGGAACCGCGATCTATTCGTGTAAGCGTTGAAGGCGCAAAGGACACATGCGTGCGGAGCTGAAGCGGAAGTCACAGCTTGAAAAGGAGCCGCCTTCAATATTCGTAATTGTTGGAAGATGTTATGATGAATGTGCGCGGCGCTGAGGCGAGAACCACACATTAGAAATAATAGCAAACTCCACCTGGGTAACGGCTGGATCTGTTCAGAACGAATGTTCCCAGCGCTAAGGCGAGCGGCTAGAGAGCCACATGCTGACAACGATCGCCCCCCACATTCCGCAGAAATGCTGGAAGTTTTTAACACGAGTGCGCGCGGCGCCAGGGCGAGAGCCACTGGGTGAAAACCACCCTCTCCATCCGGGTAGCTGCTGGAGAACAGGTGTGCGCGGCGCTAAAACGAGAACGACATTCTGGAAGCAACCCCCTCCATCCGGGTAGCTGCTGGAAAGCACCAACTTCCATCGATGTAACTGATGGAAGTGTCCAGCTTCAGGGTCTTGAACGGGGAGGAAGGCTCAGGCGAGATGCCCGACCCGCCCTGCCGACACGTCGGGGGAACAAACGAGGAGGAGTTCCTTATCAGGAGAAGAGGTAGCAGAGGACGAGGGCGGAAGGGGAGGGGTGGAGGGAGGAGGGAGGAGGGAGGAGGGAGGAGGGCGGAGGGAGGTGGGAGGGGGAGGGGGAGGTGGAGGTGGAGGGGAGGGGGAGGAGGGGGAGGGTGGAGGTGGAGGAGGAGGAGGAGGAGGAGGAGGAGGAGGAGGAGGAGGAGGAGAAGAAAGAAAGAGGAGGAGGAGGAGGGGATGGAGAAGGAGGGATGGAGAAGGAGGGATGGAGGGATGGAGGGAGGAGGGAGGAGGGAGGATGGACGAGGAGGTGGAGGTGGAGGTGGAGGAGGAGGAGGAGGAGGAGGAGGCGGCGGGGGACTGGGCGGAGGAGGGATGGAGGGAGGAGGAGGCGGAG